ATGTGGCTTTGGAGAAGGCTGCTAGGATGCTTGCAAACACAACATCAGGGGTCTGGGAGGCATCGACGGCAGAGTGGATTCCTCGTTTCCTGTAGTAGTCCACAAGCGGGGTAGTCTGAGTGTGATAGGCTTCCAGGCGGATTTTCAAGGCTTTCTCATTATCATCGGATCGACGGATCAAGGGCTCCCCTGTGATATCATCTTTCATGGGCTCCTTCGGGGGATTGAACTCCTCATGGTATGATCGGCCGCTCTTCTGGTGAATCAGCCTTCCAGTGATCCTCCGGATTAGCAGGGAGTCTGGGATGCAGAATTCAATCACAGAATCAAGTTTCTCTTTCCTCTTCTTCATCAGGCCATCAAGCATTTCTGCCTGCCTCACGGTCCGAAGGAAGCCATCTAGAAGGAAGCCATTTCTGCAGGAAGGGGTCTCCAAGTTCTTCTCAATGAGCTCCACTACCATTTCATCACTCACCAGCTTCCCAGCGTCCATCGTTGCCTTCAGCTTTTTCCCCAGCTCTGAGCCAGAAGCTACCATGGCCCTCAGCATGTCCCCAGTGGCTAAATGGCAGACACAGAAGTTTTCAGCTAATCTGGGTGCCTGGGTTCCCTTACCAGCCCCGGGAGGCCCTAGCAGCACGGCCCGGATGCCTTTAGGATACTCGGACTCGGCGGCCCATGCGGTAGGAGCCATGTCTGCCAAACTCCTTGGTTACTTTCAAGTGATAAAATTAATGTGTTTTTTAAAAATTATGCTATTCTATATTTCTAAATTCTCTACAGTAATCTCTTTTCCTTTTACATAAAATAGCTACTTTTACTGTAAAAATGTTTTATCCAGCTTGGGAACTTCATCTTGGATAGTCTTTCTTCCTTTTGGAAGACTTAGGTGCGCTTCCACAGAAATGAAAGGATCCCTGCTGTCTTAGCTGCAAGTTCCTCTTGTTGGTGCCACTGCCAAGCCATTTGCGTTCTGCCTTGAGCTCATGTCACCACATGTGCAGTTGCTTCCTTAACTTGGGGGCACCCGGTAGTAGGAGGGTTGGCACAGAGCCCCACGTGTCGTAGGCAGCTATTCAGTGTTTGAAAAATTAAATTGAGAGTTTCCAGACTTTCAATGAGGAAATCTCTATATTGTTCTAGGGCTATCACCATATATATCTCTATCTATCTGTCTGTCTGTCTGTCTGTCTATCTATCTGATAGCCATATATTCCAAATTACATTGCATGTTATATGTATATAACATATGTATGCATGCTCATTGTGAAGCAGGCCCTGCAGCAGTTAAGAGCATGGCTCTACACCCAAGCTCTGCCAGTTATCATTTGCATGGCCTCTGGGAAGCCCCTTGAACTTTCTGATGCTCAGTGTCCCTTCTCCAAGGAGGCGGGGAACAATATCTCATTGCTGGCTGTGCAGCCTAAGCAGCACGCTGCTTGGCACATGGTAAGTGCTCCCTTAGCGCTGGCTGCTGTTGTAATTATCATCCTTATAAAAATAATAATATAGTATCAACTGAGGAGACTGCCCTGGTAGGGAAGTGCTTACTAAAACACGCAAGTAAGTGGAGCAGAAGGTTTTCTCATCTGTGGAAGGCTGCTGATCTGATTAGAGCACATGTAACATTAGTCTTTAAAAGCCAATCAAAAATTAATTTTTGATCAAACCTAGGCGAAGGCCTAGGTTTGATCCCCAGAACTGCAAAAATTTTTTCTTCCACATTAATGGTTTTTGAGAAAGTCAAAACCATTTCCCACAGAAGCAGATGTCCTGAAATGAATTTGGATTTTGCTGGCTGTGCTCTTCATTCAGATATCAGGTGGCAGCCAGGGCTCAGCCCAGAGGAGGCCGGCTTTCTCTCTGTGTTTGCTGGAGCCGGTCGGACACAGATCTGATAGAGGTTGTCAGATCTGGGAAGAACAATCGACTTTCTAAGCAGAGCCCCTTCCAGGACTCTTGCGGTGCTGCGTTACATTTGTAAATGCCAGCGCGCTGCTAAGCACGTCCCCATGAATAGAAGTGTTTTGATGTTTTGTTTTTGGTCGGAGATTGAAGTCCAGTGTCTTGGGACCCAGTGACTTCGGCTGACCTTCCTGCTACATGGACAGGGCTAAATTTCAACCCCTGGAGGCTTCTGCACACAAAACCTCGTGCCTTGCAAGGGCAGGTGCAAGGAAACCCGGTGGAAATCTGAAATCTTCGCTGCTTCAGAGACCCGAGCTCGCTTCTGTCAAAGGAATTAGGTTTCACAAGCCCTTTTTAATGTAGAAAGCGTATCATTAAGGGAATCTGGACAGGGAAACTTATTAAAACTGCTGCCTATAGCAGAGAGAATGCTGCGATGCTTGAAGATATTCGAGGGCTAATGCTGGTGTCGATGCGTAATGATTACCGCATCTTAGCAAATGATTGCTTCGCTGGACAGACGGGCCTCTAGATGCATGTGATTCTGATATTTTACGGCTTGCTGATTCTGGAAAATATGTTTTTCTCCAAACTTGCATTCCAGTTTTGAGATGAGAAGAGGTTTTTTATACCTCGTGTTTTACCTGAATAAGAAATTGTATGAAACTTTAAATTCACCTTCTCATCATTTCCGAACTGCTACTGACATTTCTAGCTTGTCCAGTCTTACGATTTTGTCCATAGCTAATTTTTGCATTGTTTTGGCCAATGTGTATAAAAGTTCGCCACCAACTTCCTCCTAGAATTTTATTCAAGCTCTAGTTGCTTAAATAGTCTTAATGATTGTTGTTCATGGTCACTCTTTTTTTTTTTTTCCATTATATTATTCTATTCTTTTTGTCTCTGGTTTGAGTATCAGAAGTTGTTGATATATGTGGATTATTTGTATCTCTGTTCATGAATTTCTTTTCCCTTCTCTTAGTATTATCTTTAGCTACCTTTGAACAGGTGACTGAGGGAAGCTCTGATACTTGCAAGGGCTCCCCAGTGTCGTGGCCCTGCCGTTGCCTTTCCTTAACAGTTCTGGGCTTCCTCAGTCCCCCTCAAGTGCCAGTTGCTTTTGTGTTGCCCATAATCAGTGGGCCTACTACATGTGTTCTTCATTCTCCTGGAAGAGTTTTGTGTGAGAGCTGAGGTTGACTAAACTTAAATGGGTGTCACAGGAGACCTATCAACCCACCAAAAAAAATCACCAGGCATGACGGTGTGCATCTCCAAGCACTTAGGAGGCTGAGGCAAGAGGATCACCAGGAGTTTGAGGCCAGCCTATGGTACATACTGAGTTCAAGACCAGCCTGAACTATGTACTAAGATCCTGTCTCTAAAAAGAAATTGATCCCCCATGACATATTGTATTAAACACATTCTCTGGAGAGTCATGCTACTAAAATTATTATTAGCAACTGGTTGTTTTCCAAATAACAGGGTTGCTGAGATAGAAGTACCTTGTGCTGTAGGATTGAGTCTTTCTAAAATATACGAATCTTTGGTATGTTGCTGAGAGGTTCTGATTGGATAAAGTTAACTGTGCCCACTTTCACTCTGAAAAGGAAATAGCTTTAGAGCTTCATAAATGCCGCAAAATTGGGACACTGGCTCTCGGTGGTCACCTCTGCCACTGCACTCCTGCCTTACTGGGCTCCATGAACACTGTCCTCCCTGCTCAGCTATGTTCCTCTGCTTGGAGAACTTGTTTCCACAAAGCTTAGAGGTCCCCACTTCCAAGAGGACTTTCCTGACCACCTCTTCCAATCATTTCCATCCACTCTTCTTTTAATTTTACAGAAGGGTCTACAGGATGTTCAGGGTGTCACTACTAGATCAGACTCCTAGTGATCTGCCTGTTCACAGCCTCCCAAGAGCTGGGATTACAGGCACGCGCCACCACACCCAATCTCAATTGCCATCTCAGCCTGCCCAGGGGTGGGGCCGGCACGGCAGCCCCCGGGATCAAAATCCCGGTCCTTGCTCCTGCTTTTAGGCTTTAATCGGCTGAGCTATTTGGCAGGCTCTTACAGTTTGTATTCTTAATAAATGCTGGTGCTGATATGGCTGTCTTACAGGTCAGTGGTCATCCAGGGAACACTGGACCCACATTCTTGGATAATCTTTTGCAGTATTGTTTTGCAAGTGGCAGACACAGTTCCCTGAGAAGCACTCTAAAGATCTTTAGCATATTCGCCCTGTGTTAAGAGAACACTCATTAGTTGTACTCATTCATTTGGCCAGTACTTGCATAGTTCTCTTAACTCTGAGCCTAAGATTTTGTTCTACCAGGCTACATAATATGTGGTACCGGGGATCGAAATTGGGATCTTGTACTTGCCAGGCAGGTACTTATGCCACTGAGCTACATCACTGACCCAAGTCTTATGCTTATAAAAGATAAGTATCTTTGGATCAGAGAGAAAGAATGGTTTGACCCGCATAGCAGTAACAATAACCAGAGTATTAGCATTTTGATAATGGTTCTTTATGCTCTGGTCTCCATAGTGTGACACAAAGCAGGCCAGGTGATACCTGAATACTTAATGAGTTACAGGAGAGGGGCCGTGAGCTTAGAGAACCTGGGTCTTCCATAGTAGGCAATTTGTCTGCCCTTTGTTCTGGAGGAATATACCATCTCTGTCTTCTAAAGATGTTTGATACACAAGTAGGTGTGAAAAAAACAGTCCAGAACAAAGAGTAGTCAGTGTGAGCGCAAGATATATACAAATACTTGAGTCCCATATAGAATCATCTGCCAAGGAACCCAGTAAGTCCTCAAATTTGTTCAATGAATGAATAAAGGTGAAGTGTGCAGCATGTTGTTGACTACAGTACAGTTTCTTTTTAAAAAATTTTTAAAAATTAATTTTATTGAGAAACAAATAGCAATGAGACAGTTTCAAAACAGGTTAGTAAGACAGTTACAATAATTAATACACTGCATATTATTGTCTTCATAGTAGTTATTCATAGGACAAGATGCAGATGTCCAAACACTATTAGTACAAATCTTTCTTCTCATTGAGTTAAGAGAAAGTAGTTGTATATCTATCCTAACTATTTTGTATATACAGATACAAAATGGTCCTTCATTTATATCCCCTTTTTTAAAAGTTTTGTCAGAGATGGGTATTCCATTGTCATTTAAATATTGTAGGTGTGTGAATTCAGCAAAATAGTCCAATATAGTCCAGTAGTCCATAATAGTAGTAGGTTATCTTCAGGCCTGGCAATGTCAGAAGTTGTTGACTTGAGCCTTTTACAGCTCAGCATATTAATATGGCATTACTTTTTATACCTCATTTTTATACTTTTCTGCTGGATGGCTAAGACCAAGATAAAGCAAGACCTATATAACAAGAAATGTAACTTTTGGACCTGACAAGGTTAGTCAAATCACCTCAGAATTTATCCTGAAACCCTGCACTGCAGTTTGTAGATTCTTTGTCAGTGTCAGCCATGTGGATGAGTCACGGCCATTGCTTGACCAATTTGCTCTCTGTGATACAGTTTCTACCATTAGAATTTCATGTCTCTTTCAGAGGAATAAATTAGTGGGGCAATGCAGTGGTTAACTACTTATGTCCTAAGTGCAGATACCTGAATTTAAGTCCTCTTCTGTCACTTACTAGATTTGTAGCCCTTCTCTAAACTATAAGTAAGAGAGTTATTGTGAAGGTCTTCCAACACAGTCCAAAGTGCTTGGGTTGGTGAATCCCCGGCAAGTATCCAGATAAATGCTAAT